AATTATCAAGATGTTATGGATTACCACTACTATACTAAACAAGAATTTCTTAAATTAGATAAAATGTACATTTCACGTTTTATTGCACTGCAATGTCTCCAGACTAAGTAAACGTAAAAACCACTCTGTGCACCTCTTCACTGCTCCATGAAGTACTTTTGACGTGGATCTAAAGTCACATTTGTGACAGTACAACAGACTAGCTTTCACACGCAGAGAAGCACATCTGCTTCTGACACTGAATGTTTTAAAAAGAAGCACTACAATGAGACTTAATGGGTGCTTAAGATGTGTGGCTCTGCATTTAGAAAGGACTGAGAGTGGTAAACTGAAACAGTGAAAGCAGAAACAATGTCTATCACTAGTTTACCATATTGATAATTAGGAATAGGATATCAATCGGGTCTCTAATTGAAATGTCTGTTGTCTGCCCAAACAACAGTATAGACACTGGTTTGTTTGGACTACTGTCAGTGTTATCAATTCTCAACACAATTCACTTGGCAAAACATAATTCTAGTTAATGAATAAGTTGAAGAATGAATAAATATTGTTTGGATTTGCAAATAATTCAATAAAGACCAATTAGGAATGTCAATCATGGTAAATAAGATTTTTTCCCCCGCAAATTTGCAAGGTTTTAAGGCAAACATGAATTTTTTACAAGGAGACACTATCTAATCTGGGAGGCCTTGCATTGTAGATCAAAACGGCAAGATAAAATGTCACAGCCCCCCATCCCCCCCACAACCCCCACTCAAACTACACCATGATAAAGCACAATGCTCTGCCCAGACAGACCAGCCCACACCTCAACACTAACAAAACAGAGGCTGCTGAGAGCTACTTCACCACCACGCTCACCTCACACTGACCTAGTGTGTCAACAATCCGTCCCATTTATAGGAGAGGGGGAAAAATTTGATTCTTAGATGCATTGCGATGTCTATTAGCAATTTATGAAGCACAGATCACACAGAAAACTTTGCAAAGCCAGTTGACCACCTTGGGAATTCTGCGTGGGGAAATCTTCCCCCATCTGGATACCTATTGAAATTACTGGAATAACCATAAATGTGACTGCACCTTTAGTGTTTTGAGAACATTTTAATAATATAAAGAACATTTTGTGCAATGGAAAGGTTCCATGGATGTTAAATGTTCTTCATGGAATCACAGATGTCAATAAAGAACCTGTAATTTTAAGAGGGAAAGATAGTGGAATTATTTATTTAGGCTATTACGGTATTCATGTAGATTTCTTAATAAATTGATTTAAAAAAATAAAGGTTGAAAACATGGTGGAAAAAAGTATGTTTTTATTTATAGGGGCCATCAGCATAACTAAGGTTCTTGTAGGTGCCCCTGGAATTGACAACAAAGTAACAAACAAATTACTGAACGATTCTATTATTAACAAATCTTAAAGTGAAATGACTCAGAAGATTCGACGGAAAACTAATTTCCTCCACCTATTGCCCAGACTACTTAATCTCGACACCTATAGTTCATTCAATAATGTTGCATTAAAGGAGTAGTTCTCCTATTCTAACTCATTCATCAAAATGAACAAATTTTTTCCTGAGTCAACTCGTTCATTAACTTCATTTCATTCGTTGAATGAACCAAATGACACGAAAAAAGATTTGTTTATTTTGATAAACGAGTTCTAACGGGAGAGTCACTAACGTGCATCACAGAACAGAGCAAGGCGACCATTTGAGCTTATAAAACTTAAACTTTGTTGTTTATTTTTTAAATGAGCGATCGTTTCGCTTGATAAGACGCTTATTCATCGTCTGGAATCATTTAAAGTCCTTTGAACAGTTTGCACTGAAACTGTCTTTTAGACCTTGAACCGTTTGGTTCCCATTGAAGTCCATTTCTCCATTATATGGAGAAAAATCCTGGAATGTTTTCATCAAAAATCTTAATTTCTTTTCGACTGAAGGACATGGACATCTTGGATGACATGGGGGTAAGTAAATTATCTGCAAAAGTTTTTTTTTTTAAAGTGAACTACTCCTTTAACCCTCCACCACGAGAAGCATAGCATTTCGCGGGAAGCAAAGGGGAAAAACGGAAGCTCATCCCGCATTCCAACAACGATACTTCCGCTCCAAACTTCTGCTGCACGGCTTCAGAGTTAAAACTTAATATTGATTTCGTGTCATTTTAAAATAAAATGTACAGGATGCACGGCATTTCTATATATGTATTCGTTTTATTGGTTGAATCATTAATTGCGCTAATGTAGAAGAATATTCAAGTGCTCTTTACCGAACGAGGAGGATAAATAAATTCCGCAAGTCTTTAAAAACAAAGTTGTCTGATAACTTTATATGCAGAACAAATTTTCAGCGAAAAATATATAGGTGTGAAGTTATGCACAAAATATAGTGTCCATCCATGCACAGACTTAAAACACCACATCACCTCCTTATTGTCATCAAACATGATGCAACGAGGAGAAATATATTTAGCGAGCTCTTACGTTGTTAGGACTATTTCGCAGTTGGGACAACATATCTGAAAGTTCACACAGCTAAATTAAGAATCGGAGGATAAACACAGCAATGCTTTACTATAAAGTCTCACTAAACAGTGTCTATGTGTGAGCATTACGTGCTGGTGTCCACCATTGCTGTATGCGCGAGGGTTTCTGACGGCCTTGGCGCCAAACTCGAGCCGCCCTAACGCTAACGTACATGACGAACACTCTCCAGTGACTACAATCCCTTCTACTGCCATAATGTCACTTCCTGTGTGCATATAACATCATTCAGAGCGTGATCGCAAACTTTAACGCAAACATATTGGTATCGCTGCTACCGACATAGTCCCAGTTTTGTAGTGTGGACGTAAAACCTTGCTCATAAAGGATCTGTAGGAAGCAGCAGGCCCCGCTGCCTGGATAAACTGGCACACTGAACCCTGTGTGGAGACACGAGCAGTATTGTTCATACAGCACCCTTACCTCACATCCAAAAAATCCAGTGTTTCGGGACGATCGTACACGGCAATAGACTCCGCAAGGCTGTATTCTAGTCTGCAGTCCAGAGGTGCGGCAAATACCCGTATTTTCGTTATTTTTTCTTTCTTGTCCCACTGTCAATATCCCAAAAGCAGAAATCACCCTCTCACCACGACACAACAGCTCTATTGTACTGCCCGACCGCTGGGTCCTAAACTCCGCCCGTTCATGGCCTTACTGACTCAGAGCGCCACTGTGGATGGCTATGAGTTAATGTTAAAAAACAGAATAACGTAGTTATCAAAGTATATATCTGTAGTCTGGCCTTGGTACCAGTCAAAAGTTTGGAAAAATTACTATTTTTTTTTTTTAAAGAACACTCATATGCTCATCAAGCCTGCATTTATTTGATCAAAAAAACAACAACAAAAAAACAGCAATATTGTTAAATAATTACAATTTAAAATATTTTATATTTTATTTTATTAAAATATTGGTTTTGTATCCTGAACTCCGCCCCGTTCATGGCCTTACTGACTCAGAGCGCCACTGTGGATGGCTATGAGTTAATGTTAAAAAACAGAATAATGTAGTTATCAAAGTATATATCTGTAGTCTGGCCTTGGTACCAGTCAAAAGTTTGGAAAAATTACTTCTTTTTTTTTTAAAGAACACTCTTATGCTCATCAAGCCTGCATTTATTTGATCACAAAAAAAAGCAATATTGTTAAATAATTACAATTTAAAATATTTTATATTTTATTTTATTAAAATATTGGTTTTGTATTTTAATATATTTTCAAATACAATTTATTTCTATGATGCAAAGCTGAATTTTCATTAGTCATTACTCCATTAGGATACTCAAATATGAGTATCCTTCTATCTAATACTCAGTTCTCATCAATTTTGGAAACAGTTGTGCTGCCTAATATTTTTTTGGAACCTGTGATACTTTTTTTCAGGATTCATTGATGACTAAAAAGTAAAAAATAACAGCATTTATTAAAAATATAAATCTTTTCTAACAATAAATCTTTACTATCACCTTTTTTTTTATCAATTTAACACCCTTGCTGAATAAAAGTATTTTTTTAATTATATACCCCCAATTTTTTAATGGTAGTGTATATTGTTACAAAAGATTTCTATTTTAAATACATGCTGTTCTCTTTTAAACTTTTTATTCATCAAATAATCCTGAATTATAAATTATAAAATTAAAAATATAATTTTAAAAAATTATAAAAATATCAAGCAACAATGTTTCCAACATTGATAATAAATCAGCATATCAGAATGATTTCTGAAGGATCGTGGGACAAAGACCTCTGGATTAATAGCTGCTGAATATTCAACTTTAACCATCACATAAATAAATTATATTTTATAGTATATTGAAATAGAAAAACATTATTTTAGATTGTAACAATATGTCACAATATTACTTGTTTCTCTGTATTTGTGATCAAAATAAATCCAGACTTGATGAGCATAAGAGACTTCTTTCCTAAACATTAAAGTTAGTGATGTTTCCAAACTTGTTCATCTTTTTGGGAATATATATATATTTTTGATAGGAAGGTCAAAAGAACAGATTTTTTTTAAATAGATTTTTTGTAAAAATGTCTTTACTGTCACTTTTGATGAATGTAATGCATCCTTGCTGAATAAAAGTATTAGTTTCTTAAACCAGACATTTTAACAGTGTAGTGTACGTATATGTGTGTTTAAGCTTGATAATTCTGATAAACTTTGTAGATTTTAACAACTTGTGTAATTTATTGTAGAACAAAAAACATGAAAGTCTCTTCAAGTAATGCTCACCACATATCCTTCCAGGTTGGCCTACAAATTGTTGTTGTCACAATACTGAATCAGACTTTTATAGTAAATCACAATCTCTCTTGCAATCAACTCGAACTATTTACACCTATGAACATTTGCATTGACACCATTGACATTCATGTATTGAGATGTAGTTCAGCTTTGTGTCTATTTGCAGATGAAAAGAAATGAGACGATGGAACTTTAGACCAAAATGAATGTATTGACAAAACACACAGCTTATATTCAACTCTACAAAATTGTCTGGTAAAAATAATAACTGTTTAGAAATAACAATAAAATAAAAAAGGTACACTGTGATTCTCTCATCTACATTTTTTTTTTGGTCACAGGACAGTTGTGCTCTCTAAACATTCCTACAAAAATAGAGCAGTGTGAAGGAGACAACTCCTTTTAGTAGTACATTCAAAGTATCAATTTGAACTTTTTACATTCTTTTCAGAACAGTGTTACCGTAAAAACGTATATATGAAGGACAAATGTCAAAAAATACTGACAAAAAAAAACAACAGAAAATATATTTTGGGGACAAGCCAAAATGCGGAAAACAAAACAAACGTGGCATTGGAGTTACTTAAAAAACCTGATTCAACAAAATGTATATTTCTGGCATTTGACATTATAACAAATATTATTATTTTATCAGTATACACAAACTAAAAGACTATACAATATGTAATGGAAACATGTATACAAGAAAAAGAGAATAAAACACAATTTCCAGCTATACATTTATGGAAAAAACTAATTAAATAAATATCTAAATAATCAAATTCATTATTTTCAGCATAAGTGATACAATTGTCCACAGCAATGTTTGATTAGACTAAAGTTCCAGTTTTCATTGATTTTCTTCTCTATCTAAAGGCACTTGCCTTCCTGATAGTTTCCAAATAACTTAACTGACTATGGCCCGTTTACACCTGGTTTTAAGATGCCTTTTGGTGAATCAGATCACAAGTAGACGAGGAAGACACATACCCGTTTACACCTGGGCCCGGTTTTTCAAAAGGTTAAAAAAAATTGATCCGGATTTAGTAATCCTTTTTTTTTTTGCGATTTGTGATCATGGAATCCAGTTTACATTTTTTCTTTTGAAAAACCCATTTTCAAGATTTGATCCAATCCGTTATCCAAAATCCTAGTGGATTACTTTGAAAAACCGGGCCCTGGTGTCTCTTTTGTCCACTTTCAACCACTTCTGATTTTTTCCTGATTTTTTCGAGGGGAGGGTCTATGAGTTGGTAAATGTATGTTTTTTTTTCAGATCTTTCGATCTAATGGAGAAAATAAGCTCGACAATTTATATATGAACATACCCAGAGACAAAGGAAAAATACATGGAGAGCAGCAGAAAACCACAAGACTGCACCGAACGTGTGTGTTAGAACTCTTGGAAAGAGAACATGCTTGGTAAGTTTTTCATCTTCAAAACAAACTTGGGTCTCCAGCCAAAGTTTAAATCCCATCTGGCTAGCGCACTTCCCATAATGTTTACGCATTAAGTCAGTAGGCGGAGAGAACAGGGTCTTTTGTGGCTGTCCGATTTCTAACACATTCGACCACATGAGCATTTACACTAGTACGAAAGCAATCCGGTCTAATGCGTTTTCGACTACCTCTGGAAGTGGTCGAAAGTGGACAAGCTCAAAATGTTTTAGACCTGTAAACCCTGTTTACACCTGTATTAAGCGCCATCCACTCGTGATCTGATCGACCAAAACGCATTTTAATACCAAATATCGGTTTCATAGGCATGAAAATGTCAAATTGTCAGATCACAGATCGAACTCATATGGTAAGAATAAATAGTGGTTATAAACACCTCAAACTATTCTGATATCAGTGGCTTCGCATATTAAGTTATGTCATATCCAATTCCTTAAAAAGACATAACCAAACAAATATAAACCCACATTAAGGTAAGGTGCCCCTTTGCGCCTCTTTTACAGTCCCATCTGCATGTCAGCAAAGTTGAAAAAGTTGTCGACATCACGTGATGACGTTTGTTTGCTCTCAGAAACAAATACCTGCAAGAAAAGCAGCAGATAGCATTGACATGAGAAGCAGTGTTGGGAAAAGTTACTTTTAAAAGTAATACGTTACTCCCCAAAAAAGTAACTAATTGTGGTACTTATTTACTTTTATGGAACTTTTCTTCACCCAGACTTTCTTGATTGTTTTTTAACAAAACAAAAAGTTCTAGTTTTGGCAAAATATGCAAACTCCCTTCCTCCACAAAAGTGAAACAATGTTGTTTCAATGATCAAGCACACACAACACCTCTGCACCTTACTCCACATTATGAGTACGAGAGAGGCGTCAGTCAATAAATTGGAAAACGAAGTAACTCGCATTACTTATTTGAAAAAGTAACTCAAATATTTTGTTGTAAATTTAAATGTAATGCATTAATTTACTAGTGTTCACATTCCTCTTAAAATTACCTTAGTCCCATTAAACACTTCATTTACAATGGATCGACATGCCTCCACCACACCATCTCCGTTCAGCTCAAGGGCTACCACTGGACCTGCGGGAACAGAGAACATTGTGTTATAACATTTGTATTTGCAAACAGACAACATTTTCCCCATTTTTTTGCTTTAATACAATGCATTACAGCACCTTTGGTGATCCACTCAGTGAGGCTCTCTGCATTATTCTGGAACACTCGGTTAACATCCTCAGGGCGCATGGAAACCTCTTTGGTCTGAATGAGGACAAAACCTTTGCCAGTCACCTGCATTTAGGTGGATATAGAACAAATGTATGTTAGAAAATGAAAGCTTTATCAGTTGGTGGACAGACCAGGATTTGTTTTTTTTTGTAATGAGAAGCATAAAAACATAAATAAATGATCACTGCTATAAAGTGGTAGATTTCTAAATGAAGTAAGTGACAAACAGGTCACATGACAGCAAACACTTTTGTCTATTTCTGTCTCTTCCTCATATTCGGTTAAGTACAGCTAGATTAGATCTAAACCTTTGCTGTTACTTCTCGGAACTTTTTAACTTGACTGAATAATACAACACTGTTTGTATTAAAACAAAAAGTGCAAGATTGGAACTAGTGAAAATTATAAGAATAAAATAGGGTTGACTTCATATTGTGAATTCATAATATAAGTGACTAACTTCGGCCATACAACTTTTTATAATATGGTGTTTTTCTGTTCTAAAAAAGTATTTGATAACACTTGTACATAAATATGCTTTTAATAATGAGTTGATAACTAAAAACATGATTCTCTTATAAGTACACTATAATTATTATACGTTTAAAAGTGCTTCATATATTTAACTGCTTTTGGCTTGAAGCCACAGGACAATACACTTTCAATTGAACTATGACTGAGGCATTCTGTGTATTGTCAAATTGGACCCTTATAACTATGAATGAAAGCTTTGCCTTCCTGTTTATCCCATCCTCCTTTTGGTAACCCAAAAAGTGATCAGACAATTCAGGAGCCCACAACCAAAGATATCTTCATCTATTAGTCATTTCCTTAATTTACGCAATTAAAAAACGAAAGGAAACCTGTGTTGAATTTTGCGGGCAACTACAGCAGACAAAGATTAATAAGTTACAAACATGTGAAGTGGGAATAGTACACATCCCCTTTTCTATATATAGGTGGAATGACTGAAGAAAACTGATTTAATTTCAGCAATTAACATGGAAAACTGACTATGAACAGCATTTTTCAATAAGACTTTTAAACTAAGAGCATAAACGCAAAGCTTCTCATTACAAATGACATATTAGGAAATTCCCAGCTTAAATAACTTCAAGCTTGGAACAAGAATAAAATTATACAGCACATGATGTCAGTTTGTAGATCGCCCAATGTCGCAACCATGAATGACAATTCTACAGCATCGACTCTATCAAATTAGGTCTAACCTCATCAATAAGCTTCCGGGCATTAGCAGTTGTGTAATCCCCAGAAAAGAAGACAAACAGACAGGACTCTTCACTCTCTTTACGCCGACCTCCTTTGGTCATGGGTACTATGCTCCGACTTGCTTCAGAGGAGATTCTCACAGACTTGAATTCTGACTCAGGGTCTGGTAGAGGCACATACTCCTGGACAACAGCATCTTCCGGTAGGAGACTCCAATTGGTCTCCCCAGAAACAGGTGTGAAGTCATGAATATTGCTCCAGTTGTTGTTAAAGATGCTTAGGCCTGCATCTTTAAAGTGGAAAGCCAGCTCAGGGTAGTAATACTGGAAGCAGCCAAACTTCATGCCCGTAGAAGACTCGATGATGGGCTGGGTGGCGCAGCACAAAAAGACGTCCATTTTCTTGCAGTCTCTGGTGCGGAACTGCTGGCAGGCCACCACACACTTGATATCTTTGCAGTCTCTGAAGAACACACTGCCTTTAACCGGACCCAATATAATGCGGCAGTTCACACAATCGTCAATGGTAATGGTCGCTGAATGGTCGAATACGTAGATGTTACAGTTCTCACAGTCCTGAATGACAAACTGCTGGCCATTGAGCTTGCCTGGCAACCGACCCACTGTCTCGTTCTTAAGGCCTGTCAGCATGAAGTCTTTGGGATCAACCTGCGACAAAAGTGGTCAAAAAAAGGAAAACATAAAAAAAGTGATAAAAACATTATCATATCAGCTATCTTTGCATCTTGGTTGCTTTCACAACAGGATGTAACAGGGTGCATGTGTGTTTATTAGTTAGATATTTGATGCTTTTATCCATCTAATTCTAAACAACGTCTGTTATTTTAGTGCTTGACCTAGTACTTGCTTTAGAGCAAACATGTAACCATAAGTATTTAACCTATAAAGCCTACTGAACCTATAAAGCCTATAAATAACTTCTATAGCCTTGTCTAAATTATCAAAAAAACTTTGCTGAAAAAAAAAATCTGTTGTACACAATCTTCTACTTGTCTTCTGCCCTCTTATTGACAGTTTTCCCCCACCACCACAGTCCAAAGACATGAAGGTTAGGTGGATTGGATATGCCAAATTGGCCTTAGGTGTGAATGCGTACGTCTTTGTGTGCGAGTCCCAAGCCATATTAAAGAGGGTTGGATAAAGACCTGGGAATTGGCAACCTACCCTGGAAAAACATTGTCAAGACAGACAATGAATGAATTGCCATAGAATCACCAAGAGTCGGATTTGACTGAAATGGTAATATAGATTGACCGATTTATCGCTCAATCATCATTGCATTAAATGTTTAGCTCTTAAAATTAAAGGTAGAGTTTTCATTTCTTGCTGACTAAATCAATAACCGAAACCGACCAGTTAAAAATCCATAGGAAACACCCAAAGGCTTGAAAATGTTAGTTACCGTCCAGATTTAGCCGACTACAAAATGAAAAGAGCTATCAATTTACTTTTTAAAAATACTTTTAAATGTATCTTATGGGCCCCTTGGAATTACAAGTCTAATAGTAATGCTACAGACCATATGAGAAATCTGACTGTTGGACTTGTCTTGTGCATTTATTGGCTTTCAATCTGCACTTGAATACATCAATCAGGACAATGTTTAAACATTATAGATTCATACTTTAATAGCTCTCAAAGCTTTGTAATGGTTTTGCGCGTCGAAGGGGCAGACGGACACTCCCACCCTCCCTGTTCCTCCTCAATATGGTGTCATGCATGTTGATGGCGACACCACTTATGTGCTAATCCCTAACTCAGCGTTATCTGGGTACGCGCCAGGCAAACAAGTTACGTGCCTCGACTTTAAGCCGATAATAAGCTCTGTCTATAATTTACCATAGTAACGTTATGTGGAAACCTATGACCGCCGAGAGACTCTCGTATCGATGGTCAATCGAAAGCAACAGTGGCAGGCAGGCAGTCAGTCAAAAACGCTGAACTATAGGGGCCAAACCCTTCGCTTGCGTGATTACGCGAGTAGAGAACGGCGTAAAATATGAGCAAAAGCATATGATAATAGCCATTTCGGATGGACTTACATTCCAATCTGTATAATTCTAAGCAGTAAGTTATAATTCCTAAAGAAATTAAGCAACATAATACCATGTCTACTTAACGTAGCCTACAGTCTAGTGAACAAAAACAGGTTAAAATGCAGCGTGTTACCTTTTCTCGTTTGTCCCAGCTGTATTGCTTTGGAGCCTCCTGGTTGCTGTTGCTGCCCAGCGCAGTGTTGTTAGTTTCGGGGAGGTCATTGCCCGTAGCGCTCTCGTCCCCAGTGGGCAAAGCGGAGTCTTTTTTAGGAGATTTTCTCCGAGATTTTTTGGAGAAGAAGCACCCCATTTATTGACGATATGTCAGTGCGCCCCTCCTGTTGTAAATGCCACGCGTTTCTGAAATACTCTCGATCAGTCGCACGCAGTAGCGATCCGTCTCTCTCACCCTGCCCAGAAAGTAATCAAGAACACGCAACCTGTGCGCTTCCCGTTTCCTTGACCCTCGAATCAGCCAATCACTACAGCGGAACGCGTTACTAGGTAACAGCGAATCAAAGCCGGTGCGAGTGGAGAGGGGTGGAGGGTTACAGTTTTATTACTGATACTTGACCATGCAAAAAAGAAAAAAAATGACATTTTGTTCGCGGGCGGGTTGGGTAAAATCATCTTTGCAGATAAGTAATTGATGTGAATCATACTGGTGATTACATTTTTGGTTGTCTGGTCACACAAACACACAGGCCTATATATATATACGTATATACTGTATATATATCACACATATATTATAATAACCTTTATGTTTGATGGCTCTAATTTGTTTATTTTTATATTTATTATATTATTATACATTGTATATAAATATTTATTATACATATATTTATAACTATATAAAAAAATTATATGATTTCCATTACACGAGAGTAGATGTTAAACCTCATGCTGATTTGTACTCGGCATTCGCCAAGATAAGCACAAACTAAGACGTAGCTTTACAGTAAACTATGCTTCTCCATCCATTTACGTTTCTTTCCATAGGGTGTGACTCCCCTTCTGTCCGGCTGTAGTGTACTTGGCGCGTCAGCACACACGACGGCTGCAACTACAATGTGGTCTCCCTAGTGGACCAGCATGAGCCGAGTAGGGGACATCTCTAGGGTCTTCAAGTGGGCACCTTCCGTCCTCTGTGTTTCGTCGACTAGCCCACGACACCTCAAGAGGGCCCAACAGTGACTCTGGCGTCCAAGAGTCACCCCCCTCCGTCCCCCACTCAACTCAGCCCAGCTTACTGACCTCCTTCCTGCTGCTGAGACCTAACCACAATCTTACAATCTCTCCGCAACCCAACCATACACGCCAATTTGTTTGACTAAGGCTCTCGAGCCCCACTGGTGCGTGAAAGCAGTTTCAGTAACAACGGTTCCGTATGGCATACCACCTACTACCGCAAAACACAATATCTGCCCACCCCCTGTCATTCACGCAATGTAGGCTATACAGGAACGTAATGACTGTAAATAATATGCACCCTATACAATTAAACCAACAAACTCTTCAAGTTTTTCAAGAATTCTATGAAACCATAGCGTGGCGGCTAGAATCTTTCAGTCTCAACCACAGCCGGTTGCTGCTCCTCTCTGCTGCTTCAGATAAGTTCTTTACTGTGCGACGCAACCCTTGGCCACTGTTGTAGAGTGTGCCACAAAACCTTGACAACCCACTTCCACTGGATAAACCTGGACTCTCCATCCTCGCTGTTCTGTTTCAGTGGCCAGATGAGCATATTGCAGTTTTTCCTCTCATATGCCTCATCTACAGCATCCTCCCATGGCACTGTTAACTCTATCAGTTGAACAACGCGTGCTGATCCAGACCACAAAACAATATCTGGTCGGAGGTTAGTGGTGGCAATCTCTGGTGGAAAAATAATCCGTTGATCAAGATCAGCCAGCATCTAGTCCCTAGCAGCTTCTAGTTGTCCTGGGCGAGAATTGGTATTAACACCTTTTCTTGGTGGTTGCTCGCCTGGACGGAGGAATATTGTCTTCTGCGTGTAATGTTTTGCTAGAACAGGCAGCAACTTATTGGTCATACTACACATGCCTTCCAATGTTAAAGCCAAACATCACAGTACTTGGTCATCATGGCAATATACTGTACATCAAGTAAACCGATATATTATATAATATTCAGGGGTTTAGGGAGTTGTCAGGCAAGGTTGTCCTTATTTTAGCTAAGATGTAGTAGAACTGACTCCCTCAAGAACATTTTAGTCTACATTTAGAGGTAAATTGGTGATGAAAATAAGGATAGTAACAATAATTTGTAGCATTTATATAATGCTTTTCTTTGCACTCAAAGCACATTACAAGAGTCTCTTCAACCTTCACCAATGTGCAGTACACCTGGATGCTCAGCAAATGCCCAATGCCCAACACAGTTTATTGGAGAGGAGATACAATCAATTATTATGGGGATGATTAGGAGGACCGAGGCCAATGGGCAAATACATTAAAAATCCAAGGATGCCAGAGCACATTTTCGAAGCACATTTTTGAAGGATTTTTAATGACATGGCCTCACTAACACCTCTTGCAGCAGCAACGTTGTTTTCCCAGGAGGTCTGCCATTCAGGAACTGACCAGGCCTTGCCATAGTGGGTAACATATTAATTATTTTTGGGTTATACACTCTTAAAAAGAGTTTAGTCATTATTTCTTGTACTCAGAACAAGAAAATGACGACTTTCCATTTTTCATATGGCAAAGGAAATGTGATAGCACACAGAAGAGCAAAAAGGAAACGTAAAATTCCTGTTGTTTCAATCATTGTGACAGCTTTAGTCACCGGAGGTCAGTAATATTAAGAGTTTTACACTCTTCAAAACAGCTCAATTTTCCGTGATTTAGAGAAAATAGGCCTACATTTGCTTCAAATGTTTGTAGTAGGCCTAAATCTGAAATTTTCTTATCAAATGAAAACTAAATCTTTGTATCACCTCTTAAAATGTGCCTGTTCTCGATCACCAAGCCCAAACTTCAACCCTGTTCAACGTTATTGTAAATGTTTATATTATAAATTAAATATTTTTCTTGGATAGAATAATAGAGTAGCAGTGTGCGTGTGTCTTTAAGAGCTTGAGCTGCGGTCTGCTCTGCTGCTCTCATATACCTGACGCAGCTGAGGAGGCAGTGAGTGAGGGAAACCGCCACAAGCATCCTGCACCATGGAGGCGGTCACAGCACCAAAGCCATGGACATTATATGCACTTGGACACAGCTCGCTGTTTCCTATTTTAATGTTCATTTTAAGCCAATGTTGTCGGATAAGAGCAGATGACGGCGGCATTGAGGAACTTGCCACGGAGAAAGAGGCAGAAGAAAGTCACAGGCAGGACAGTGTGAATTTACTCACATTTATTTTGCTTTTGACTCTTACCATCCTCACAATATGGCTCTTCAAACACAGAAGAGTGCGCTTCCTGCACGAAACCGGACTGGCTATGATATACGGTGAGAATGAGTCTTTTTTGCGAAAGGCGTTAGACATCGGCTGCGTCTCAAAACCGTGCCGAGCTCGGCAGCATTTTTGACCGTTATAGTAACGCGTCATCAGAGCTAAATCATTTTTAATTCGCTTGTTTGTTTTGTGCATGTTTGTTTTTTTTGCCTACTTAGGCTGCTCATTAGGTTTTGAAACACAGCCATCATGTAAACCCTTAGCTAAGCCTCACATGAATGAGCCTGTGTAGCCTGCTAGCTTCAACGAGTGCTAATACAAAACCTTGTGGATCGAATGTCATGCCATTTCAATGTGGTGTTTAAGTATTGTAACGTATACTTCTGTTGTTTTCGTTAAAATTTGGTGAATGTAGCATAATAGCTGATGCATGCATTTGCCTATATGCAACCCACAGTTTTAAAATTGCATAATATTTAATGTTTAAGAAATTATACCACGTTTTCTCTTGGTCTCCTTTTTTAATTACCGTCTGTCATAAGTCCTGTTGAGTTCCTTCCTCATACTAGCTTTGTATAGTGTGACAGCTTTTGTATTTCAGGTTAGATCAGTCTACAGCAGCATTCTTGATTCTAGGAGTCGTCACTATTTGTAAGCTCTAATTTAAAGGAATAGTTACCCCACAAAATACATTTACTCACTCGTGTAGCTTCAAACCTTTTTTTTTTTTCAAACCTTTTTTTCTTTTTGCTGTGGAACTTTTTTGCAGTTTTTTTTTTACATAATTGTACTGGTTGCTTGCCACGGATTTGCAATGAATGGTAACTGAATCTTATAGCTTCAGAAGAGACAATAAAGCACCATAAAAGAGATGCGAATCGTTCATATACTTGGTCTTTTGAAGCCTTTGAAGGAACAGGTCGAAATGTAAGTAATTTCTGAAGAGATAGTTCACCCAAAAATATAAATTATGGGTAATTTTATTTTTTGGGTGAACTATCCCTTTAACTGAAAAACTTAGTATTCTTGAGAGAAGGAATGATGTCTGATCTCTATCCTCCTTTGAGTTGAATTTTTATTCAGATTATCCAGACAGGGGTGATTCCAGGCAATGGGAAATCAGAAAACTCGACTGGAAATCAATACTTGTTTAGAAAATATTAAGCGTGATTTAAAAAAATAGTTTACATGGATTGGACCACATGGTTTTGTTCTAACAAAAAACAAACAAACAAACAAACAAAAAAAAAAACATCACCTAGGCATTTAACATTCTTTATTCTCAACACTAACATTGAGTGTGCGTGTCGGTTAACGTTCTCCGCATAAAATCTGTCTCTGTCATGGTTTCTTCTTAAAGAAACCCCTGATGTCCTGTTAGAGTGTCAAAATAAACAAACAAAAAAAAAACATTAAGTATAAATAACACAGAGTTGCAACTTGCATATAGCTATGGTGTTAACGTTCTCACATTTTAAAGGGTTAGTTCACCCAAAAATGAAAATTAAGTAATTAATTACTCACCCCCATGCTGTACCACCCCGTAAGACCATCGTTCATCTTCGGAACACAAATGAAGATATTTTTGATTAAAGGGATGGTTGATTGCGATTTAAATTTTTTCATTTTAAAAATCAGGAAGTTTAATGCCTACAAAAACGACTCGATTGGGACAGCCGGGTTTTAGACGTCACTAACCCATACATTTGCATCAACCCTCCCTCTGGAATATGCAAAAGGTTATGGCCATATTTCTGCTGCTCGTCGAGTGTGTTGTGTTCACCAGCTGTCAGGTCTTCTGTGTTCGAGCTTCCCATGGACGATGTAGTTCGTCAACAATGGATACAATTTATGTTTAATTATGTTCCTGAAAATGACTGTCGTAATTTAGCTGTCTGTGCTGCGCATTTATGGAAGTCTGCTTACAGAATCTTCACGAACTCAATGCCAGATTCAACAAGAAACTGTTACTAAAACATGAAGCAGTTCCAACTTTAAAATCAGAGACAGCAGTTGTTGGG